AAGTTCAGAAGGGCAAAGAAACCATGTATCTTTGCAATAGAGATTTCTGAAGTAGAATCTTAGGAGAAGGATACAAGTAGAGATTTCATTGCGCATACAGCTTAACATGTAAATACTAAAATGAGAGTAGTAGAAAGTATAATGTCCAAACCATCAAAGAAGAAATAAGTTTAAAAAAAAGGCTGCTGAAGAGAGGAGAAGAGAAAGTCTAGTTATATCAATAATTATAATAAATGCAAACAAAGCAACCATAGGCTGTTGAAAGCATGTGGTGCCGGGGATCACGCAACGATTCGTCTTGAGCTTCTGGCACCTCCCCGTTAATGTACTGCCGCAACAATTTTTAAATTATCTTCAGCAGAATTTTACTTGCATGGGATATTAATCATTTTATTTGATAATTTCTGCTCTCTGTTGGGTCATCTTTCTTAGGAATGGGCACATAGATAAATTCCAAATTTCCTGGCATAGTCAAATGAGTGCTTCCAGCTCTGTCATTTTTGAAGCATTTCAGTTGGTATTTCATCAATTCCTGGAGCCTTGTTGTTTGTTTTTTAAATCATTTTATTGGGGGCTCATACAACTCTTATCACAAGCCATCCATCCATCCATTATGTCAAGCACATTTGTACAGTCGTTGCCCTCATCATTCTCAAAACATTTGCTCTCCACTTAAGCCCTTGGTATCAGCTCCTCATTTTTCCCCTCCCTCCCTGCTCCCCCCTCCTTCATGAACCCTTGATAATTTATAAATTATTATTATTTTGTCATGTCTTAAACTGTCCAATGTCTCCCTCTCTTCACCCACTTTTCTGTTGTCTGTCCCCCAGGGAGGAGGCTGTATGTAGATCTTATAATCGGTTTCCCCTTTCTACCCCACCTTCCCTCCACCCTCTGGTATCGTCACTTTCCCCACTGACCCTGACGGGATCATCTGCCCTGGATTCCCTGTGTTTCCAGTTCCTATTTATACCAGTGTACATCCTCTGGTCTAGCCGGATTTGTAAGGTAGAATTGGGATCATGATAGTGGGGTGGGTGGGTAGGGGGGAGGAAGCATTTAAGAATTAGAGGAAAGTTGTATGTTTCATTGTTGCTACACTGTATCTGACTGGCTCGTCTCATCCCAGCAACCCTTCTGTAAGGGGATGTCCCATTACCTGCAGATGGGCTTTGGGTCCCCAATCTGCCCTCCCCCTCATTTGCAATGATGTGAATTTTTGTTCTTTGATTCCTGATACCTGGTCCCATCAACATCTCGTGGTCACAGAGGCTGGTGTGCTTCTTCCATGTGGGCTTTATTGCTTCTGAGCTAGATGGCCGCTTGTTTACCTTCAAGCCTTTAAGACCCCAGACACTGCATCTTTTGATACCCGGGCACCATCAGCTTTCTTCACCACATTTGCTTATGCACCCATTTGTGTTCAGCAGTCCTGTCGGGAAGGTGTGCATCATGGGATGCCAGTTTAATAGAACAAAGTGTTCTTACATTGAGGGAATACTTGAGTGGGGGCCCAAGGGAGCCTTGTTTTTACATGCTTTTAGTGAAACATGGACTTCTTCCTCCAACACCGTCTGTTACTGATCGTATGCTGCCTCTTGAAATGGTTGAAGGTTGACCATTTCTTTTGTTACTCTTGTGTGTATTCCTTTCATCTCCTATGATTGCTTCTTGCATCTTTCAGTGTGTTGCTCACGTGGTGGTGGTTAGGTGCTGCCGTATTGGTTCTGGTTCAAGGAGACTCTGTGTGCCGTGCTCACAATTGTTATGTCGGTCTTCTTTTTTCGACTCTCCCTCTGTTTTCACCAAGCTTGGCATGCTTTTCCAGGGCCTGGTTTCTCTTGATAATATCACCAAAGTATGGGAGACAGTCTCGCCTTCCTCGATTCTGAGGAGCATTCTGGCTGTACTTCTTTCAAGACAGAGTTTTCGGTTCTCCCGGCAGTCCATGATACTTTCAGTATTCTTCACCAGCTCAAATGCGTTCTTCTTTGATCGTTCTTCTTTGATCATCCGTATACATGGCCCAGTTGTCACGTGCACATGAGGTGATTGAAAGTGCCATGGCGTGGGTCCAGTGCACCTTAATCCTCAAAGTGACATCCTTGCTCTTCAACACTTTAAAAAGGTCCCATGCAGCAGATTTGCCCAATTCCATATTTCTTTACATTGAGTTGCAGCCCTTAATGAAGCTACCATCGTGCTCGTCATCAGCAAGTGCTTCAAGCCCACCTCCCTTTCAGCCAGCAAGCCTGTGTCGCTTGTGTTTCTGCGGGTTGCTAATGAGCCCTCCCTCCAGTCCTGAGGCACATTCTCCATCACCGGTCCAGCGTCTCAGTGAAAAGTGTGATGACAGGACACTGGATGCACACTTTTCCTGATGTCAAACCACACAGGATTCCCATGTTCTATTTCATGCCTCTTGGTCTCTGTACAGGTTCACCATGAGCACATGAAGTGTTCTGGAGTTTTCATTCTTCTCCGTGTTATCTGTACTTTGTTAAGATCCATCCAATCAAGTGCCTTTGCACAGTCAATAAAATACAAGTAAACATCTTTCTGGTAGGCTCTGCTTTCAGCCAAGATCCATCAGATGTCAGCAATATCTTTCATGCCATGCCCTCTTCTGAATCCAGCTTGAATTTCTGCTGACTCCCTGTCAGTGTATTGCTGCAACCGTTTCTGAATTCTCTTCAGCAAAATTTTACTGTATGTGGTATTAATTTTGTTCAGTAGTTTCAGTATTTTTGTGGGTTGCCTTTCTTTGGAATGGGCATAAATATGGATCTCTTCTAGTTAGTTGGCCGGTAACTGCCTTCATATTTCTTAACATAGGCCAATGAGCACTTCCGGTGCTTCATCAGCTTATTGAAACATGTTAAACAATTTATTTAAATTGGTCTCTGTCCATTCTTGGAACCTTGTTTTTTGTTACTACCTGTAGTGCAGCTTGGGCTTCTTCCTTCACTATCATTTGCCCTTGATCATATGCTACCTCTTTAGATGATTGGACATCGAACAATTAGTTTTGGAACAGTGGTGCTGTATATTCCTTCGATCTTCTTTTTATGCTTCTTCCATCATTCAATATATTGCCCATAGAATCCTCCAGCATTGCAACTCCAGGCTTGGGTTTTTGTCTCCAGTTCTTTCAGCTTGAGACATGATGAGCATGTTCCACCCTTTTGGTTTCCTCATCACAGGTCTTTGTACATTTCATTATAATACTCTGCTTTGTCTTCTTGAGCTGCCCCTTGACATTTTCTGTTTAGCTCGTTATTTCATCATTTCTTCCATGAGCTTAAGCTACTCTGCCTTCAAGAGCAAGTTTCAGAGCCTCTTCTAGCATGCACTCTGATGGTTTCTTCCCATCCATAGCCAACTTTATCCCAGGGCAATAGCTGTCTGAGACAAGATTTTTTTTGGGGGGGGTCTCTGCTTGGTCTTGCTCTTTTTTTTTTTTTTTAATCATTTTATTGGGGGCTCATACAACTCTTATCACAATCCATTCATCCATCCATTGTGTCAAGCACATTTGTTGTCCTCATTCTCAAAACATTTTCTTTCTATTTGAGCCCTTGTTATCAGCTCCTTATTTTCCCCCTCCCTCACGAACCTTTGATAATTTATAAATTATTATTATTTTTTCATATCTTTCACTGCCCGATGTCTCCCTTCACCCACTTTTCAGTTGCTAAGACAAGATTTTTAAGTAATTATTAGAATACCTTTTTTTTTGGTCCCCAGTCTATTTTTTATATTCTTTGTTGAAATGATTTCAGAACTATAGAAAAGTTAGACCACATGTTCAAAAACCAAGAGTCTACTTGAACCATGACATCTACCCCGAGCCTAGCAAAACTAGATGGTGCCCGGCTACCAATGATGGTCTTTCTGATGAGGAACAGAATGGGAGCAAAATGTGAACCAGAAGTTAAATTTTAAAATATTCCAGACTTACTGGACTTGTAGAAACGGAGACTTTCACCTGGAGATACTCTGCAAACCTTACATCAGAACGATTCCATCATGTCATCTTTTAGCTAACTACCAAATTGATCAAAATAAATAACTAAGCAGTACGTGTGAGTACTGTGCTCCTGTAAAACTATCATCTGCATGAGACCGCATGGCCAGCGTTTACTCAAGAGCAGAGACAGAAGGCGGGGGCAGGCAACGGCACACTGGAGAAAGAAGGCAGGCACGGTGTAGAAACTTGCGTGGGAACTTTACGTCTGTGTAAGCCGTCACGGAGGAACAAGTATCTTAATATGAGTTAGAAAGGTGCAGGAGTACAAAGAATTTCCTTATCCCCAGCTTCCTAAATTGTCGGTAGTTTTATCCCTAAAGGAAAGGTACAGCTCAGCTTCTTCTAGAAAGGGGAGGAGGGCTTTGACTTTGGTGAAGGCTGTAAGGAGAGTTTTTATTTTTTTAAAATTTGGGGTGAAACAGCAAAACGTTAACTTTTGTTATTTCTTCATTACAAATGGTGGATTACTCTGCCTTTTGGGTGTGGAGTCTTTTGGAATGCTTCAGACAAACATGCGGTTGAGTGTCATCCTCTAGGAAGCGCACTGTTGCAGCGTGCTTTTTCCTGTTGAAATAAGTAGCGCTTTATGGCCTCTGCTCTCATTCCTTGCCTGTGAATCAAGAGACTGAAGTGAAGTGAACTCAACTAGGGGGCTGAGTCACCTCAGCATCCTTTTGCTTTTCTTCTCATCTGTAGGGCCTCTCACTGCTAAGTGCCCAGTGGTATCTGACTGGCGAGATTAAAACTTGCAGTTTTCCTAATAGATGCGCCTCTCTTCCTGATTTGCCGTAAGCAGGGCCTGCGTTTAAGCACTTACCCATCATTTGGGGCCATCCCACATACTGTGCTTTGGTTCAGGTTGTAATCAATAATTCAGATGTCAATAGGAGCCCCATTAGCTCAGGTGAAGGCAGATAGATGTCTGTGTAATGAAAATTTCCATTTTCCAAATGCCTTTTCTTTTTCCCAGAGAGTTGTGGTTGTAGAAGACATCAAGAGATGGAAAACGATGTTGGAGCTGCCTGATCAGACCAAAGAGAATCTAGTTGAAGCCTTACAAGAACTAAAGAAGAAGATACCCTCTAGGGAAGTGTTAAAGTCGACAAGGATAGGTATGTTCCTTCTGAATTGTATGGGAAGTGTGTCTCTTTTGTCTCTTGCCTCCTTCCAGTCCCCCCACCCCCCACGGTGGTGCAAACATTAAGCTCCCTACCATGTCATTGTGTCTAATAGTATCTGTGGTGAAAGACTCATGTTTAAAAATTCTCCATTGGTGGCAGGCCAATACTTTTGAATGGTACAGTGAAAATGACTAGGTAAAACGAAGCAAACATGTTCAACAGACAAATCCCAAATTTTGATAGTATTAGCTTCAAATACAGAATTCACTCTTACAAATGGCCACAAGAGCGTCTCTGAGCTAGCTCAATGTCTGTGCAAACCTCCCGGGCTGCTCACCGGCCCTGATCCGTGGGGAGCGTTCTGAGCAGCACCTTCCTCTTTCCCAGGCCTTGTATTGGATGCTGAGTGTGCAAAAGTGGAGGGGCCATATTTCCTGGCCTCAAGGAACGGAGGGCTTGAGAGAAGATACAGGCATGGAGACCAATGAGGGCCCTCAAAGATTGCCAGTTTGGAGCAAGACCCTGTCAACCAGACCCTGGATACCTTGCTCACCTGTACAGGGCCTATGCGGGGGCAGTGGACAGCAAGCATTGAAATCTGGGGAGTGGAGTGAAGGCTTCTGAGAGGAGGGGGCATGCCAGTTCAGTCCTGCACCAGACATGCCTTTTTGTCTCCAGTAGAAAAAGCTCGGAAAATGTGGGTTTTCAAAACCACGATAACAACATTTGCCACTGTAGCCTTTGCTATTATAACGGTGGAGACACTTAAACGATAAATCAGAGACTCCGTTGAATTGCCTTCTTAGTACAGTACACAACTGTGAGTAATATGCAAGGGAGGACCAACATGTGTTGCGCAAGCTGCTCCCAACTCCCCAGAGAGCCCAGGGCAATCTTTCACAGCTGCTGCCTGCGCCCTCCCCTGTGCAGCCTCGGCCTTCGCAGCCTCCCCTTGACCTCTTGTTCCTGAGAAGCAGGAGAGGGAGCAGCGTCAGAGTGGCACTAACAGCTGGGAAGAGCCGTGTGAAATTCCCGGAGGGCCCCCCAAGAGTCTTGAGAGTTGCACCCCTGTAATATAAGCCAGAATCTGAGAAAATTAGATGCTTAAAGAACATAAAACCTTATCCCTGTACCTGAGGAGAGTCTCCCATCTGCTGCTGGATTTTATCTTTATAGGTTGTGGCCACTAGAGGGCAGTAAGACCATTCATGTCAGCAGATATGTTATTTCAACCAGTAGAGGGTACTCGTGATTAATGTGTTAACACACAGATATACATGTGTGTATGTACAAGTTCCTATGTCGGTACACCCCACAAATGCCATACATGAGCAGGTCAAAAAGATCAACATAATAGGCTGGAATGATACACAAATGCAGATCTGTACAAACGCATACAGAGATCATCCCTTTGTAAAAATCCCCTCTATTTGGCCTGCAGTCCAGTTGTGAACATGCTTTCCAGAATGGGTGTGTCTGATGTTGGGAGGTTTCAATTCCAGATTAGAATGAAACCACGGCGAGGAGGCCTGGCTTAGAAGGAACTGGAAACCATGCAACTTTTGAGTCTTGATCCTACCTTAAGCCCTGACTAAACCCAAGGTTATAAGGAAAACAGGGATTTTACGATTCCTTTATAGTTACATCAGTTGCTATGCTAAAGATTTCGCTTGGATTATTGCCTGAGACTGTTTACATTCTTCGACCTTTTAGCCTTCCTGCCCGTCCCTAGCCTGTAGGTTGCAAGGGACAAATATTTACTGAGTGCCTTGTTTGTGCTAGGAGCTGTTTGAGCACAGTAATGAAGGATGCAGATAGTATTCTGGTCTCTTAGGGAGCCTGCAAGCTACTGGAGAGAGAGACAGAGACAGAGAGACAAAGACAGAGACAGTTTTACAAGACGTGATCCTGCAACACGGTGGGTTTTCTGGTGAATGGGAGGGAAGCCGGTCAAGTGAGTAGAGACGAGGCTATTGGAGAATGTAAGGCAGAGGGCCCATCATGTGAGCGTGTTCAGAGGACTGGAGGTGGAAACGACTGTGGTACATTTGAAAACTAAAAGTAGTTTGGTGCGTCTGAAAGTCATGTGCTGGAGACAGTATGTGACAAGTAATAAGGCTGGAGAGACAGGTAGGACCAGATGAAAGGCCTTTTGTAAGCCATTCAAAACTGTTTGAGCTGGACACATGTATTCATTATCTGTTGCTGCATAACACACTGCCCCCCAATTTAGCAGCTTAAGGCAATATTTATTAGCCTACACAATTTTTCTTACGGTCTGAAATACAAGAGCAGTTTATCTTAGTGGTTCTGCTTACAACATTTAGGGCTGTCGTGTGATCAAGACTTGAGAAGCTGCTTCTAAAACGGCTCACTCGCAGGTCACTAGAAGGAGACCTTACCTCCCTGTCACGGAGGCTTCTCCTCAGGACCGTGTGTCATGTATGGCAACTGGCCTTCCCCGCCCTCCCACACAGGAGAACCACCAAGATGGGAGCCATCGTGTCATGCATAATGTCATCTCAGGAGCGACAGCCATCCATCACTTCTGTAGTGTTTTTCAGTGGTACAGATCAGCCTGGGACAATATGGGAAGCCACGACACAGGCTGTAAGCACCAGGCGGTAGGGGTCATTAGAGGCTAGCTCATAGGCTGGCTCCTACTGCATGATGTCTTTTTATTTATCCTAGATATATTATGCATCCTAGGAGAATCCTGCAGATTCATGCTCATTTGTAGAAAATTGACAGCCGTTATCTTCAAAATCCCTTCTTTTCACTCTCTCCATCCCCCTCCTGCAGTTAGAAGCTCGCTGGACCTCTGTCTTCCACATCCCTTACTTTGTCTGTCACACTTTTTATTTCCTGCCGTGTAGCATTCTGGGTAATTTCTACTGCTAGCTCTTTTACACGCCATGAAATCTCTCTTAAGTGAATCAGTCTGATACATTCATTAAAGTCAAAGTTTAATTTGCTGTTGGGTTCATTCATTGAGTTTTTTTATTTTTTAAAATGAATTTTTCAGTTTTAGAAGTTTCCCTTTTTCCCTCTTCACTCTTTCTTTTAAATGGTCTTTGCACATTCTATGCTCTTTATTTAAACACTTAGTGCGTAGTTGTTCTATTTTCTTACACGACAATTCTAAAATTGTTGTCTTTGGGGGTCGAAAGCTGTTGTTCATCGTTTCTGCTGACCTTTGTCAGGCTTGCCTTCCCATATGCTGGCTGATGTTTTATTTTATTGTGAGCTCAGTATTTGATTGTAATCAAAAAACATGTTGTGCAGCTGAAGTGATGTGCTTCCCTCCAAACAGAATTTGCTCTTTCTTTTGTTTCTGTTTGGCGTCAGGGACCACCTGATCTGGAGCCCTAGACTCACCTCCTAAGGAGCCCCACGCTGTTCTCTTACCACCCAATCGTTGCCCTGAGCCAGTGCTGCCTCGGTGACCCTATAGGACAGGGTGGAACTGCCCTGTGATTTCCAAGGCTGTCAGTCTCCCTAGCAGAGAACCTGGTGGGGTCCGACTGCCAGACTTGCAGTTAGGCGCTCAGTGTAGAATCCCCATGCCACCAAGGCTCCTCGCCGAGACGGTAAGTACAGAATCAGTCACCCTCAGCATATAGCTAGAAATAGAAGGTTGGAAATAAGCTTGCCCTGAGAGAATTTATAAGAAAAGCAAAGAGCCAAGTTCAGCATCTCGAAGCCCATCCATAGTTAATAAGCCTCTGAAGACAGCACGAAAAGGGAGCGAGAGAGAATGTTATCATGGAAGAGGAAGGATGGTGGCTAGAGATGAGTCAGCTGTGTCTAGGGCTGCCAAAAGGCCAAGTGAGGTAAGTCTAAAAATTGCATATTGACTTTTGCAAAGGAATGTCATTGAGGAGCTTGGTAAGGACAGTTCTAAAGGCCAGGTTAGGGTCAGAAGCTTAAGGAGTAAGGGGAGTATGGGAATGAACCTGAAAACGGCTCCTGTAAGAAGTTTTGTATTATCAAGAAATGGGAGAAGGGGGGGAGATTGAAGGAACTGCTGATTTTAAGATGAGAGCAAATCAAACTACGTTTGAGTGCTAGCATTCAATAGGACGAGAGGTAGTAACAGTACAGGAGAAAGATGGCAGTGAGGATCTGAACATGTTAAGACTTGATGAGCAAAATGGAGATTAGGAGTAGCAAGAACCCTAGATCATCGCCCCCACCCATGTTTCTGTCATCCTCGATTCATTCATTTCATTCATTCACCACGCACTGAGCACCTCCCACGGGCCTGGGTTGTGTTTGGAAGGAGCTCGCTTTGTAGCTGTGTGCAGAAGACTGTAGTAGGACTACAAGGGAGAGGGCGGCTGGTTCTGCTTGTGTGCATTGGGAAGGGTTTTTATCAGGGAAATGGAATTTCGCCAGGTCCAAATGGGATCCTGCTCACTGTGGGCAAAGACGGAAAGGACCAAAGGCTTGAACCAAAGCCTGGGCACAGCCGGGCTGGGATGCATGGCTGGGGTGAAAGGTGGGTAGAGGGGGGCCTGATGATAAAGGCACTTAAAAACTGGCCAGTAGGATCTGGAGTTTATTTTCTTCTTCAGCAACCTATGAGCACTTCCCATTTGGGGATGGGGGTGGGACTGCCATTGGAACCACTTCATGTGTTTAAACTAGAGAGTAATGTGGTCGGTTTTCAGTGGCCAAGAGAATGTATAGGAAAAGGGTACCACTGGAGAATGAGGGAACAGATAGGAGTCATTCAGACATTCATTGAACCCATATTTATTGAATACCTGCCACGTGCCAGGCTCTGTGCCAGCTGCCTGTAATCAAAACAGATAAAAAGCCCTACCCGTGTGAGGGAGACCGTCATTGTAGTGAGGGAGACAGGCAGTAAAGAAGAAACATAATAAGAAAATGGTGTAGTATTTTCTAAGATAATAAGAGCGGTGGGAGAAAGCTCGTTAAGCAGGTTGAGAGGGATGGTGAGTGGCGCTATGGGGGAGGGCCGGAGC